ATGTGTTGGGATGTGGGATGGGATGTGTTGGGATGTGGGATGGGATGGTCATGTTGAGATGTGCATAGTCCTGTTGGGGTTCTGTCCCATGCTGAGGGGAGTGATGCTGCTGGTGGCCCAGTTGGGTGTGATGGCAGATAGCCAAGCCCTTGTTGTGTGGCCTTGGTGTGCAGCATTGCAGCCGTTGTTGGTGAACATTTATACTTCTGTGATGGGCAGAGTGCTGCTGCAGGGTTGGTAAAGATGGGAGAACACAATGAGATCTTTGAAGCCTCTATGTTGTGTTACATGTTACAGTACTGCACAGCAGCTGGTCTGTGTATTTCTGCGCCATGAAACAGACTGAAATTCATTAAAAATCGCAGTAAGTGGGAATATTGCAGCTCTGATAAAAGCTGTTAAGCGAGTTGATTGGCTTATTCTGCTGCAAGGTAATTAATAATTTAATGTCATTTTAATAACTTCGTGCCATTTTGAATTCCTTGTACAGGTCTGTTCAAGAACTCTGTTTGGAGGATGACAGGAGATGGCTGAAGGAGTACCGTGAAGCCTTTTGCTGTGGTCTGACCGTACAGATCCCAGAACCTATTCCACTTGCAGATACAACGTGTGCTTCTCAAGTAAATGGGCACACTGTGAGCCTGCAGACTTACTCAGGTACTTAATGCTGTTAAGTGATAAACAGAGGGAACTTGAGATTCTTTGTTGGCCAGTAATCAAGGTGGAGATGTCTGTTAAAAGCCTGTTCCCAGTGCTTTGTGCTGGAGAGAACAGGTGTGAAGACACTTTAAAGGTCAGTATCCTGCAAGCCCAAATGCCAGCTCCTGTAGCTGATTCTGTAGCTTTTATTCATTGAAGTAGTCCCATTGCAGATGGCAGGGTGATCTGAGAGCAGCAGCCTGGTGCTTCGGGAGCTGGTGGAATTACTCTGTGAAGGCTATACTGTCAGCCACTGTGCATGAGAAATAAACTCCCTCAATAACTGCAGTGGACAGAGAGGTGTTTTGCCTTTTATTGAGCATAATAATGTGGGATTTATGTTCTTGTCAAGTGTAAGTTGAGAAAACAATTAGGGCAAGTACAGTAATAAAATTTGCTATTCGCCCATATTGGTGTTTTTCTTGTGGTGCAGTTCATTAGGTATTTTGCTGAGCCTATTCCAATATCCATAGGGCCAAGACGACTTTGCCCCCTAGCAGTCAGCAGCAGATTCAAGCATCTACATTTCTTATTGTCCTTTCTGTGAACCAAAAAAAAACCAAACCAACCCAAACCACCTAGGCTAATTGCCTGGAGGCCCAGGCTGTCCTGCTCAACACTGAGCATTTCCTTAGTAAAAATGACCCTGCATGTTCACACCTTTTCTCTGTATTTCCACTCGTTTCCTGAAAATAGCCTTGTCATCAATGGTCCTTTATTCGTTTGTTTATCTCAGGGGACAAAAACCAGGAGATGCTTTTTGTGAGGACAGCTGTGCTACACCTCCATCCTGCTGAGTCTTGGAATTTCCTTTGGACAAACTCCTGTGACAGAAGGTACTGTGTTGTCTTACAGCAATGACTTTGTGTGCCTTGAAAACTCAGATGACTTTCAAAACAGAAACAGTCAGCTTCAGTTGAACGTGATGGTCTTTGAGGTCCCTTCCAATGGAATTGTTTTGTTCTATTCTGTTTGCTGTGGAAGTGTGGTGGAAGGTGAGCAGGGTTACTGCTTTTTAGTTTGTTTTATGGCTACGCGATAGAAGATGGATGTATTTCCACTTCATTGCTATCTAATCTTCCCAGAAGGAGGGCACACAAGTGGCACTGATTCTGCTGTGGTGCTAAAGATTTTAACTGGAATGCTGTGGTGCTAAATTCTGGGTGGAACCGTGCCGCTCAGTTCCCCTTTCTTCTGCTGAGTGTCATATGCAAATAAAACCAAGAGGGGAGTCCCTAACAAACAGCAGCGTGTTTTTTACATGCTAAAAACTTCCTGACATGTGAGAGATGAGCTGTAAGTCTGATAGTTTCAGTGACCTGTGCCACGCTCAGAGCGTGGGTTGGCCTGCTGATCACAGCAGTGCTCCCTGGTAAGTGAACTGTGCCAGTCCTAATTACGCTCTTTGGCCCTTCCCTGATAAAGCTATCAAGCGTCAGACTTTGCTAGGCACGTCACGCTCAAACAATCAGATTTGCATGGTGACGGGGTGTGCGGGTAAGGGCAGCAGCAACCCCGCCGTGTCTTCAGCCTTAAAAATACCGTATGAAGAGCTGAAAGCATCGCTGAGAGCTCGGCCGGAGTGCCGGCTTCCCCCAACGCCGGGCTCCGCTTTGCCATCCGGGAGCCCCGCGGAGGCGGCCAGCAGGGGGCGCCAGCGGGCTGCGCAGCGCCGCCCGGCTCCGAGCTGCACCCCGGCGGGGGGGGGGGGGGGGGGGAGCGCGGCGTGCAGCGGGGCTGTGAGCGGAAAGGAGCGGAGGAAGGTGGGGAGGTGTAGAGAGGAAGAGTTTACCTAAGGCAGGATGTGAAACTGGGCGGGTTTTTGGACTGTGCCAGTGCCATGGGCACCTGGGGAGCTCAGATAGGTGTCCTCTGTTCTGTGCCCAGCTCGCAGGTGTGAGCTGCGGTGTGCCACGCTGAAAGCTCTCAGGTCTGGGCAGTCCCAGAAGCCAATAGCCAAACTTTTCTTTCTGCTCCTTCAGCAGCCGTGCTGTTGGCACCCTGCTGCAGGGCTCTTTCACTGCTCGCCCACCTGCATCCTGGTGCCATCACCCGCTGCCCTGCAGATCTTGTACAGCAGGGCACGAATGCCAATATTGCATCTTCAAAACTCTTATCAGCTGTTCCCACGGCCTCCTGAGACGGAGGTGTCAGGAGCAGAGCACCGCTGCCAGGGTTTGCCTCTGCCTGAGAAGTGCCATGGGAATTGGTGGCTGGGAGCACGAGCCCTGCCTGGGAGCTGACGCCTCACTCGTGAGATTTATTTCACCATCAATATGTACCACTCAGCCTGTTTGAGTGTCCCTGCACGGCGAATTTCACAACCCCTGCGTTAGTTTTTGTTTCAGCTGTTGCTGTAGATACTGTCGCTTCTGTCTCTGCACGGCTGCTTGTTTTTCTCATCTTTCTACAGTCTTACTAAAGAACTGAGGGAGCATGTAAGTTTAGGGTTTCAAAAGGAAGCTGCGGTCTGAGACGTGCGAAGAAATGTCAGCGGTAGAGAGTTATACTTGTGGTTAGAAACAAACTGTTTATTTGTTTTGCTAACAAGAAGCAGGTGTTGCCAGGGCACTTGGAGGGAAAGAGGCAGGAGGGTTGTGCTGCACACAGGGGCTGAAGACCTCCTAGCTAGCATTAACCCCACTTTTATTAAGAGCGTGGAGCAGAATGCAGTGGTGAGAAAATGACTCTGAAGTCTTTGGTTTTACAGCATTCAAGTTAAAATCTTGCAACTTTCTCATTTTGTGTTGTCTGTTTATGGTGAAAGCCTTACTGTCATGGGCAGGGCCCAGCACAGCCATCAAGTCTCCTTCCCCCGAGTCCCTGGAAGTGTTCAAGAAGAGCCACAGGTGGCTACCAGCAGATTTTGATGTGGTGTAGGACTAAAGCATACGGAAAAAGCAGGCAAAAGAAGTGTAGAGTACACACAGAAAAGCTCGGGTATTTAAAGGGTTACTTTCCATCATTTACTACGAACTATTTTAAAATTTACAGCGTGATGAGAATCTACCAGTGCATTAAAAATTCTTCACTGAAAAGCTCATGTTTGTATCATCTCTTGGCTGACACTGGTTGCTAACAGGATGCTGCAGTGTTTGGTCTCTGCTGATGCCGCCTGTATCCAGGAATGTTTGTCTTCATCACTGTTGAACACTTCTTTTATAAATAGGGTCTGGGGTGTGCTGCACTACGCACAGCTGCAAAAGATTCTTGTGCTGTTTAATATCTCATGTACTGTAAGGCTAGTGCTAAGGTTGCAGGAATGAGAGTCCCTGTGCACAAGTGAAACAGTATTTGCAGGTGAAAGGCAGCGGTGAGTGAACTGCTGGCTGTGGGTGTGGGAGACATCATCTGAGGGCAGTGCTGCCCTGAGAGCCTGTCCTGGGACCAGGCCCTGTCCTTGGCAGTGCATTGCAGGGAGAGGGTCAGACGTCTGCCCGTGTGGAGATCAAGAGGAGGCGCCTTGGACTTTAATCCGGGTTATTTACATAGTTTCTGATTTTTATGATTTTTTTTTTTTCCTGAAGTGGGTTCACAGATTTAATTGGCGCCTCACGTGAAAGGTTTAATTTCCTGTGTCGGGGTGTTATTTGTAATTAATGTTACCAGGATGTGGTCAGCCTTTCATTTCGCTTTACATCACCTAGGTAGGATATTTCCTCTCTTTCCTGGTAACTTGACTCACTCATCCCTGAGCCCCAGACCAGGCTGGCAGGTGAGAATATTCCCACTGGGCATCATTTTCAGCATTAATTTGTGCACCCTGCTGCACAGATCTACTTTGGTGCTCCCTTCCTGCTCCTACACACTGAGAGCAATTAGTTTCTCTGAAGTGTGTGAATTAGCTGCTATTCTGCCAGTGAGAAAGCACACAATAAATTGCATCTCTGTATATAAATAGCATTTTGAAATAGAAACACACATTCTGATATTTATTGTTATTGTTTTTACACAGAAACAAATTAACCCTATAAAAATATACCGTTTATGTTCAGTTATTGCTTTACACACACTGTTAGCTGACCAGTTTGGCTCCTTCTTTTGCACAGAAGACGCCGTTGTCCCCAGAAGTACAACATGCAGGTTGGGCTGCAAGGTCTGGTCCTTAAAGAATACAGTCCAAGAAGCACTTCCAAGTGTACAGGTACATTCCTAAGTGCTGCCACTGTCAGATTTCACCAGCAGAGCAGCTTGCAGAATTGGGTCAGAACTACAGGCACATGCATTGGTGACAAAGAAATACTGGCTGGACTTGGTTAGCTGTATCTACCTTTAGAAGAGCCAGCCCTGCTTCCTTCAGGTACACCCCTGATCTTAAACGCATGAAGAAATTCTTGAAAACTCCTGTCTTATTCAAGGCTGTGCAAAATAGATGGAAGAAAAATCGTGGAGGTGCGAAGCTAACGCTGTAGATCTGGGAAGGATATGGGCAGCTTCAATGAAAACTTTTGACAAACCAAAGATTGAACGTGGTTTTGTATTTAAATATTGAGGTGATGTGTTTGGGCCAGGACTTCTGCTAATTGTAAAGGGAGTTTGTTTCCAAGTTCTCTTCTGAGAGCTCTCAATTGTGATGTTGAAAGAAGCCGTGCAGGGCTCTGACTCCTCACCAGCTGGGGCAGGAGAAAAACAGCCCGTGAATGGGAGAGACTCTGCAGACTCTGTCTTTCCAGGTACTGTTTATTTAATGTGTTTTACTCTGGCAGAGCATGGGGACTTGTGCTGAGTCACTGAAGGAGTGAAAATCTTGCAAGGACCAAGTGGTTCCCCTGCAGGTGGACACGGGGGGAGTTTTGCTGTTGCAGAATTGCTGCAGTCAGAGCTTTTGAGCTCACAGAGGTGTGCAGTGCTCCTCTTGGACCCCGAGGCCAGGAGGACTGAAGTATGGCAGGCAGCTCTGTGCAGAGAGTGCATGAGTTTTGCTTCTGGGTCTTTCTGATGATGCATGGGAGGGGTCTGGGTTTTCCTGGAGGCACAAAACCAGCCTGATCCATCCGCCTGGTGAGACCAGCTGACAGCAGTGATCCAGCCCTGCCTCACGTCACCGATAGTGCCGTGGGGCTGCTCCTCTGAGTGGCTGCTACTGATAAGCTGTTGTTGATAAAGCCTGGGGTGTATGAGGGAGGGAGATACAAGTGCAGGCAGCATTTTGGTGACTAATGTGTTGTGGTGAGGGCGAGCTCAAAGCCTGAAGGCATGGGCTATTGCAGGAGGAGGGTGAGGGATGTTTCCCAGCAGTCAGGGAGCCTTGCAGTGTTTGGGAAGGGGCAGAGTGCTCAGATGCTAGCAGGATATGGTCCTCCTGCTCCACATGTGTTGCCAAATGCCAAGTTTCTTGGCATGCACAATGCACAGTTCAGCAAAAGCTGGCTTGTAGCACGCAGCTGCCTTAGTAGAGCAGAGGAGTCCTGCTGTGGGTGCACCCCAACTTCAGCCCAGTCTTTGCTGCTGGATCCTGCCCTGCTCTCCTCTCTGTGCAAACCAAGCAGTCTCTTCCCTTACACCTGCTGCTGGCTTTCTATGAGAATGCAGAGTGCAGCATTTACTGTGCAAGCTCCTGGCTGCCAGTGCTGAGCCATGAATAACAGTGCCCATGAGAATTGAGGTGTCCCCAAAGCACTGCTGTCTGCAGCCAGGATGTGTGCCCAGGGTGTGCTGACACCAACAGAAAAAGCAGGCATGCGAGGGGAAGGTTTTAAGTGACTTTGCTCAAATGTTGTGTCTGGAAGTGGCTGAAACTCAAACTGGCCTCAGCAGTGGATTTGTCCAAGGGACAGTGTCAGAAATGGATCAGAGGTGACTGAAATGTCTGTGTATTCTTCAGGTGGCCTGGGCA